CTTAATTATCCTATTTACATATTTACATAGTTATGCATCCTCCATCAATAGAATAATTAGGTTAGGTTAGGTTATATTTTATGGGGCAGGTGTGAGGCCCCGCCCACGCCTTTAAGAATCCAATGCCTGCTATTCGTCCCGAAAAATTTGTTCTACGGACTAACGTAACATTTTCATTTGTTTTAAAACATTTACCACTGATATGTATATTATGGATTGGAGATGCTTGAAGCGATTTGAAGGTGGTTTTGGTGTGATGCGCCTCCATCGTTCGACCGGTGTACTTTGCTTCCCCTCACCTCGCGACCGCCCGCGGTACCCGCGTCGAGAGACTGTCTCGACTTTCGACAGTCTCTCGTCGGTGGCGGTACTCAAAATCTTACCGCTGATTGGCTATTTCCTTTAATACATCGGTCGAACGGTGGCGGCTTTGGCGAGTAAAGTCTTCTTCAATTCGCTTCAACCGCTGTACAGCTGGCTTATGGGAATCTCGTATCCATAGTATATATATCAGTGACATTTACCCATTCTATCTATGGCTTTTCGGCCACCGCAATGTGTTTGTGAAAACAGTAGAAAACAGTATATGTACGTAGAATTCATTGTAGTAGTAGCAGTAGTTTTTCGAAAATATCTCGAAAACTAAGGTCGAGCGGCGGTTATATGTATAGGAAAAGGTTGTTCAAAATGTTGAGTTTTACAACATATTTAAATTTCATCAAAATCGGTGAGGTGTAACCTAATCTCAATAATTACCCTTTTTTTCTTTCGGAAATTTTGCTGGTTCGTACAACTAACTCACCTAACGTTCGAAAATCGGCTGACGCACTACGCACTACGCACGACGCTGGAGGTCAACCGTCTGACGCCGACAAGGAAAAAGACAATGCGCAGTCACGCATAGACACGCTTTTAATCCATAACCTGAATTTTTTTAGTTTATAATTTTATTATACAAACTATGTACTATCTATATAAATAAAAATTAAATGCTGTTCGTTGGTAAGCACATCACTTGAGAACGGAGGTATACTTCCGAAACGCCCCCCCCCCCCCACCCTAGGACAACCAAACTTCGGATTTATAGTAATTGAGGGACGAAAAATAGAATGAGACCATTTTCAGAACTAGCAAATAAACCGTTCTCGAGATATATAGGGTATTCCAAAAATGTGGGACCCCCCCTATTATCTCGATAAGAACGCATTTCCACGGAAAATGATTAAAAGAAAAGTTCTAGGGGTCGTAAAGTATTATCTTGTAGTGACCTTGAACTTAACCTTGCATGTTAGGGTTAGGTTAGGTTTAGGTTAGGCGTAAGGCGCCTGATGGGTATAGTCGCTAACCCACTCCAGGATAGCTGAAACGGTTAGAGATCCAGCTCTGTAATTGGTCTCATTCGATTTCTCGTCCCTCAATTACTATAAATCCGGAGTTTAGTTGTCCTGGGTTGGGGAGGCCTTTCGGAATGGAAAATTCGGGAAAAAATGAAAGTGCTTGAGTTAGTGTATGAACTAAAGACCATAACTCACCATTCGAACGATGGATATGCGTAATTCGTTTTTTGTTTTGTTCGTTACGGTCCTGGATTACAATTACAAAGGAAAGTCGGAAAATTTGGACAAGACAACGTCTGTCGGGTCAGCTAGTATTCAATAAATCTAAATTCAGATATGTAAAAATCTACATATTCATTGCCATTTCGATTATAAAATTTTATTCATTAATCGTATCAATCACAACTTGATACTTTGAGGATGCAGTTTATATATAGGTCTGATTTATGTACAGTTTATTTATTTCTGAGATTCCATATAACGCGGTACGAATTCATTCAATTTGTATTATTTCTGAGTTTCTTATAGCGCGGTTTCTATATGTATAACGCGGCAGTGGTTTCCATATAACGGGGTATAAATTAATCTGATTTGTCTTATTACTATGTTTCTCATAACGCGGTTTCCATAAAACGCAATTCCTGATTTCAATCAATTCTGATTATCTTATAACACAGTTTCCAACGCGATACGAATTAATCGCGTTATAGGAGACTTGACTGTATTCATGAAAAAAATATTTTAAACAAAATGCTTTTTTATACCAAGAGTCTCTAACTATCGGTATTTTATCACAGAGAGCGCATTTCATTTGTGTGTTCTGTGTTCACAAAATCTCCTGATTTATTTTTCTGTGTATGTACGCTGAGTTCCATCGAAGTTGTCGCAGTGAAGTTGGCACACTAACCATTCACGCTGCGTCGGTGAACCGCGCACCTCGCCGATTGGCTCACCGACGCGGCGTGAATGTATTAGTGCGACAACTTCGATGGAACTCATTTTTTACCAATAGATATTTATACCTTGGTAAAGACAGTTGATTGTGTGCAAGTGATTGTTATTTAATTACATTATTTCTTAAATGAAGATTAACGTCATCATCATATAACAGTACATTGTCGGAGAAACGTCTAACATAATTTTTCCACACCATAAATCCATAAACATTTTATAAAAGATTGAGATTATAAATTTATACCACATACACATACCTAACATACACTTGAAATATAATTGCACCAATCATGTTACTAGTACCGGAAATTAATTTACATTTATTATATTCCTTACCATCAGTATCGCATATTAATACGTAGGTACTAATGTAATCTTTATTAATATGGTAACCTTTGAATAACTTTACTAATGTCTAGTATACATGGTAAACGCCAGATATCGTAATGGATATTAACCTTATATCCATATCTAGTACGACCGCGACCCGGAGTATGATTAAAATATGCAAAAATGTAAGAGACAAACATAGTATACATATAATACATCAATGGATTCAGAAACAAATTTACGTTCTTTTTTTATTACTTTTAAAATAATATTATAAACAAATTTTTTGTTATAAAAAAAATTATTTTTTACAAAATTTATGACCAGCTGTTATATGTTCATAAAAAACCATGAAACTTTTCCTTCAAAAGTTTTCTTCTATCTCTGATAGTTTTCGAGACAACCTTTTAAGGGGTCATTTCACCCCCTAAATATAAAAACAGGCCAAAATAAAAAACACGTATACCTTATTTTTCGGTCCTTTAAAACATATCCAAAAATCAAAACAATCGGAGGCGGACACCTAAAAACCCTTCCCCGTAAGAAGGGATTTTTAGAAATTCGACCCTTAACCTTTAGAGGACGGAGATTTGGGATTATCGATCTCTCTAAGAAAATGCATAAAATGAGCATCTGATATCGGGGAATACTTGTGGGTGAATGACTATCATGGGTCGAAGCACTATAGTGGCTTTCCCGTCCTGAGGGGTAACTTATGAGTATAGTTTATAGCAGATAGTTCGACTGACAGCAAACTAAAATTTTTGTCTGCCATATTGAATCAGCCATCTTGAATTTCTGAAATCTGACTTCACATCACTGATATACAGTGGGTCAAGGTCACATATTTAAGACCTCCCACCCACACCATTGTGTTCCTCTCGTCAAGGGCTTTCCCATGATATATGACCCATCCGGATTTGCGCCCCACCTTTTGGTAAAGGTCAACCAACGTGGGTACTGCGGGCGGTCGCGGGGTGAGGGGAAGTAAAGTACACCGGTCGAATGATGGAGGCGCATCGCACCAAAACCACCTTCAAATCGCTTCAAGCATCTCCAATCCATAGTATACATATCAGTGCTTCACATTCGTAATCAGCGACCTCAAAAACCCCAAAATAATGATATTTAAACAATGACCAGAAACTTTTGTTTTTGAGCCACTATAGTGGTTTTCCCGTCCTCTAAAGATTAAGAGTGTAAAAAGGGTTAAAATCTATTTACACGGATTCGTAAATATCTCTTAGGCCCGATGAGATATCGACTTGGTTTTTGCTTACGAAGGTCACGCATGCAAATGATTAAAAACATAATTCAGGATTTTGTTCTAATTAACCTCAAAAGGCGCAAATCTAGATTCAGGGGTGGAGGTAATTGTTTAGATTACGGACGCTACCTCCGATTTCGATGATTTTTAAATACGTTGTAGAAATCAACATTTTGAACAACTTTTTTCTATACATATAACCACCGCTCGGCCTTAGTTTTTGAGATATTTTCGAAAAACTGTCGAAACTATCGCATTGAATTCTGTCTATCCGTGTGCGATCGTGACAACGTACGCGTTAGTATGGGATCGCCGCTCTTCTACTGTTTCTGCAGGCAGCAATCTCTGAAATACTAGAGATTGATCACCAAAAAATAATACATCAATTATTACTTCAAAGCCGCAACGGAGATGCCAGTCTCTGATAAAAAAAGAACCTTGATTTCTATAAGAATCAAAACAATTAAGACCACTATGTCATTCTTCTTGAATTTGATTCAATGGCTTATGATATATTATCAATCAATCGTGAACATTTATTATTTCTCATTTGCTTTGTTGAACTGTTATCAGTTAGTTGACACATATTTAAAAAATGTATTTTGTTTCCTCTTATAAGAATGAATAAACTTAACAGTTTTATTAATAAAACCTATTGATGATCACATAATCTCGTATAATCTTATCTTTTGGTTTTAAATAAAGTGAGTTTTAAGAAAATTGAAAACATGTGACGTCGTTTAATAATCTCTCCTTAAATTGATACTATGAGGTGAATCATGTCGATGAGAATCAATATTACATAATAGGAGTAGTTGAGAAGAGAATTTATATTACATTGATAACAATGTAAAATATAATAAAAGTATATTGCTGTTGACACAGTTGCATTTTTTTTCTTACTCCGAATAATTAGAAATATAGACTGAAACTTTTGTTGTGAATCAAAATGACTTAAAGTTCATTGACCTCGATCCCAGTTACGAGTCATTCTTCTAGTTAGGGTTAATCATATTTGCGATTACAGACGCATTTGTATGTAAATTAGTATTGTTCAATGGAGGATAAAGTCACCAGGTGATAGTAATGTAAAATTTTTGATTTTGTTACAGACTGCAGGCGCAACACAACCCAAAGCAATAAGAATGGCGGGTTCTCCGGTGTTGGAGAGCGAAGAAAGGGCCGAAGTACTTGATGAGCCACTTTTCAGTACTCTGGATATCGTCCTTCTCAGTGCCCTTTTACTGGCTGCACTATGGTGGCTAATGCGGCGAAATAAACAAGAAACTTATACACCAGCTGCAAAATCCTATTCCATTCAGTAATTGTCTTATTTAAGAAAAAAATGCTTACCATAATTAAGAATCATTTTCTTATAAAATTATTGACAAAATTTTGTTTTAAAGGCCAACAATGTTTCCTACGGTCCAACCATCAGAGAATTCATTCATAAAAAAATTGAAAACTTCTGGAAGGAGTTTAGTAGTGTTCTATGGTAGTCAGACTGGAACTGCTGAAGAATTTGCTGGTAGATTGGCCAAAGAGGGTATCCGATATAGAATGAAAGGGATGGTCGCTGATCCTGAAGAATGTGACATGGTGATTAGTTGATTTTAATAAAGATTATCCAGTTCATTTTCATTCGTTTAATTTAAATTGTAGAGTTTTCTTTTTTAAAGATTACTTTCTTTAAATTGATTAATTTAAAAGTTGAAGCATGCGGTAAAATCTTAATTTTTCTTAGTTATTTTATTTGATTTATGCATGGTAGTTTAAAATGATTATAATTTATTACAACAGGAGGAATTAATACATCTGAAAACAATTCCAAATAGTTTGGCAGTATTTTGTTTAGCTACGTATGGAGAAGGTGATCCTACAGATAATGCTATGGAATTTGTTGACTGGCTAAAAAATGGTGATGCCGATCTTAATGGACTAACCTATGCTGTAAGTATTACGTTCACCTTTTAATTTATACATGTAGAATACATTATAGATGAATTAATTTTGTACATTAATATGTATATATACATTGCATGATTTAATATTCTTCCTTCTTCAATAAGAGAGTTTGAATTCTGAATGTACAGTATTATTTCAAACAGGTACAGTTCCGTGTTTCACTGCCTCTAAAATAGAACAATATATACAGGATATCTGAGAACTGGGGTTGGAGTCGAAGAGGGATGATTGCTGAGGTCATTCTAAACAACTTTTTCTTTTATCAAAATGTTTTTTAAGGCCTTGTTTTCGAGTTATTAACGAAAAACACTGGCCAATCAGAGCGCGCCTTTAGCGCGGGAAGAACCACGAGTGTTGGGTACGCTCTGCGTTCAAACCGTGGTCGTGATCAAGTGCATCGGCACCACGTCGGTATAATAGGATTCGTTGGGCAAAAGTTGTATCGAATAATGAATTAAAAAAAGAAAGAAATAATAGTATCGAATTATTGGTTGCTCATGAGCAACGAATCCTGTTACACCGACGTGATGCCGATGCACTTGATTACGACCACGGTTTAAACGCAGAGCGGGGTTCGGCCTGCGCTAAAGCCGCGCTCTGATTGGCCAGTATTTCTCATTAATAACTTAAAAACGAAGCCTTAATCGACATTTTAGCAAAGGAAAAAGTTGTTTAGAATGACCTCAGCAATCATCCCTTCACGGGTCCTACCCCAATTATGGAACACCCTTATATTCTGAAAGGTCTCGACGAGTCCTGTCGAATGAGCCTAGTCTCAGGTTGCGCAAATGGAAAAAATTAACCTAACCTAATTAAATCAAATTTTCATATTGAAAATTAGTATGGTTAAGGTTTTCCGAAAAAAAACTGTTTTTTTTCTTCTCGGGGATTCGAACTCCCGGTCTCGCTGTCGAAAAGCGAGTGCCTTAACCTATACGCCACTCAACCGCTATTATAAAAAGGAACTTTAAACTTCCTTTTAAGTAAAAAATACAAACATTCAACCGGTTATAAATTTTTCATTATTCGTTTGCGCAACCTGGGACTAGACTCATTCGATAGGACTCGTCGAAATCAATCAGGGAACATATCCTAAATTTGGTTCTACAGGCGGTGAAACATGGAACTGCAGCCTTTAAAATTATGTTATTATTGAGTGATTAATGTACCGATTATTAATAAATAGAGGATAACTGATTTCATCTCTTTGGTTATTTGTATTGTGTATGTCTAACCACAATCATAAATTCCGAAGATTACGTAAGCGATTCATAGTAGGCACGTGTACGATTGTACGTCAGTATAGTCGAATCGTAATCTTTATTTTTAAAAAGATTAAGAATACTGTGATAGTTAAATAACCTCTATGATAACTATACATTTTTATATCAAATTTTATATCATACGTTTAAAGATATATTTAAATACCTTACGTACTTAAAAAATAATCCGATAATAAGTATGAAACGATTCTCCAATATTCTGCGTGTAATACTGAAGTGTTACAACTACGAAAGCGCTATCCAGCGGCGTTTTCTAACATTATCTTTAGCGCCAAGGTTTGAGGTATTTCTAATTGTATTTGTTAAATTTTCTTTGTAGTATTCAAGTGAAAATATACTAAAGAATATCAAGCATTACATAATTATGTAATTTGAATATAAAACTATTTGTATATTTAATCTGGTTTTTTTTTAGCATTTTTAAAATGGTTTTACAACTATGCATATAAAACTAATACAAGTAATACTCATTTATTCTAAACCTTTTCTTTTATTTTCTAGGTATTTGGGCTTGGAAATAAAACCTATGAACATTATAATGAAGTAGCATTATACGTTGATCACAGATTAGAACAACTTGGTGCTACGCGTGTCTTTGAACTTGGAATGGGGGATGACGATGCCAAGTAAGTTCACGCAGTAAAATACAGGAAATACAAATTAATACATAATAATAATGAAACATTTTGCTACTAACAACATGCTAGTATAAAAGTACTTACTATATTGATGATTATAGCATTGAAGATGATTTCATCACCTGGAAAGATAAGTTTTGGCCAGCGGTTTGTGATTTCTTTGGAATCGAAGGTGCTGGTGAGGACGTTAGTATTCGACAGTATAAACTTACTGAACACGTTGATTTACCAGCTGAACGTATTTACACTGGTGAAATTGCTCGACTCCACTCCTTCAAAAATCAGAGAGCGTATGTTTCTTGGAACTTTCCTGTAGATATACATGTAAATAAGTAAGACGTCATTTGAAAAAAACGATCTTTTATAGGCCGTTCGATGCAAAGAATCCTTATTTAGCTCCTGTGAAGGTTAACCGTGAACTTCATGGTCCAACTTCAGAAAGATCGTGTATGCACATAGAATTTGACATAGACGGATCAAAAATGCGTTATGAAACTGGTGACCATTTAGCAGTATATCCTGTGAACAATACAGAACAAGTAAACAAGATTGGTGAAAAATGCGGTGTAGATTTAGACACCGTGTTCACTCTAACGAATACAGACGGTAAATGAAATACTTGTATATAGGGCCTCATAACTCCTGTAACACCCGGAAATGGGGGATTGCTGGCGTGATTTTGAACAACTTTTTCCTTTACCAAAATGTTGGTTGAAGCTTTGTTTTTGAATTATTGATGAAAAACACTAGCCAATGGGAGGGCGCGTAGAGCGCGCGCTCTGATTGGCCAGTGTTTTTAATTAATAATTCAAAAACGAAGCTTCAACCAACATTTTGGTAAAGGAAAAAGTTGTTCCCGATTACTCTAGCAACTCCCCATTTCTCGGTGTTACGGGAATTATGGGACACCATGTATAATATTATCTAGCATTATCAACATTTTTAATAAATCATTTTGTACATGTTACAGAGGAATCAACGAAGAAGCATCCATTCCCCTGTCCTTGTTCCTATAGAACTGCTCTGACTCATTATTTAGATATCACCAGTAATCCACGTACTCACGTTCTAAAGGAATTAGCAGAGTATTGTACCGATCCAAAAGATAAAGAAAAATTGAAATTAATGACATCGACCAGTGCCGAAGGGAAAGCCGCGTACCATCAATGGGTAGTGCAAGAAAATAGAAATATTGTGCACATTTTAGAAGATATTCCTACATTAAAGCCAGCTTTGGATCATTTGTGTGAAATTCTACCAAGATTGCAGTGCCGTTATTATTCAATTTCTTCGTCGCCAAAGGTACAGTAATAAAACAATATCAGTTGACACAAATCTTTAACTAACAACAAGAGGGCCCCAAGTGTGACGCTGACATTTTGATTAGCTTTTGCACAATGATAGTTTGAAAAACTGAAGCTAATGATACCCGGTTTTGGGCGTAAACAGTTATTAGTATATGAGATATTTAATGTTAAAGTTATTACCCTGCTTATGGTCTGAAGTATAGGAAGTCTTTTCAATAAGAATCGTGGCGTAACCGGTAAGGCGTCAGCCTCGCGGTAGTTCAAATCCCATTGAACAGATATTTTCAATATTTCACTTTTTTCTTTTTTTTTCTAATAAATATACTTTTTGGCTATTATAATTGATTAATAAATATTTTTGAACAATTTTATTTAATCGTTGCTTTGAATATAAGTTGTACATGAACCGGGAAGGTAGTTTTTATAAAAAAATGCGAAATCTAAAAAAAGAAAAAGTGAAATATTGTAACATGTTGAAAAAATCTGTCCAATGGGATTTGAACTCGCGACAAAAAACAGCCACCTACCGGGAGGCCATTGAAAAGACTTCCTATACTTCGGACCATAAGGAGAGTAATAACTTTAACATTAAATATCCCATAAACTAATAACCGTCTACGCCCAAAACTGGGTATCATTAGCTTCAGTTTTTCAAATTCTATCATTATGCAAAAGCTCATCAAAAAGTCAGCGTCACACTTGTGGCCCTCTCCTTGTTAGATTTTTAATCATTTCATTTTCTTTACTAAATCTTTTTTATTTAGCTACATCCAACATCGATCCATATCACCGCAGTCGTAGTGGAATATAAAACTCCTACGGGTAGAATTAACAGAGGTGTAACTACCAGTTGGCTGAAAGAAAAACATCCATCGGATCCACCCTGTTACGTTCCTATTTTTGTGCGAAAATCGCAATTCCGTTTACCAACTCGAACATCGACTCCTATTATTCTAGTTGGCCCAGGTACTGGTATTGCACCATTTAGAGGATTTATACAAGAACGGGATCTTGCGAAAAAGGAAGGTGAATAATAAAAATTCAGGTTATGTTACGTGTTGATTACAACAAGGGTTGATTTAAATCTGGAAATTAATGAAAAATTATTTTGTCATTAATTAGGAAAAGAAGTGGGAGATACGATTTTATACTTTGGGTGTAGAAAAAGAGAAGAAGATTTCCTTTATAGAGAAGAACTTGAAGAGTATGTGAAGAATGGTAGTTTAATATTACATACCGCATTTAGCAGAGATCAACCGGAAAAAGTGTATGTTACGCATTTATTAGAAAACAATAAAGATGAATTATGGAGAGTCATTGGTAAACAGAATGGGCATATTTATGTTTGTGGGTTAGTATACAAATTGATGGTATTAATTATAACGCATACATTTGTCTATATACATCTGTTTATTTTTCATAGCGACGCGAAAAATATGGCTCGTGACGTACACAATATTTTATTGAAAGTTGTAATGGAGAAAGGAAATATGGCTGAATTAGATGCCGCTGATTATATCAAGAAGATGGACTCGCAGAAGCGTTATTCGAGTGATGTATGGAGTTGAATGATGCTGTTTAATTTAATTTTACGAATATTTTGTAAGTTGAGTTTCTGTAAACTTCTTAAAAATATGCCTTTATGAAAAGGCCACTGATAATTTTCGTACGGTTGTGCGATATGATGCATGTAATCGTTTGAAACATTAATTGATTAGTTATAAATAATAGAAGAATCATACAAGCACTAATTGTATTATATGTAAGTAGTTAAAGAATTTGTATAAAAATCTATATTTTCTTCTATTTTAATTCTTTTTCTTCTACAGTATGTTAAAGTTTTTAATGGGAGTTGATATAGTGCAATAACGATTTTAAAATATAATTTTATATTTGACAGATATACTTAATACCTGTATAATACTACGAAACATTTGATACATGTAACATGAATTAGCTAAATTAAAAATATTTCACATAAAATGACAATTCTTCAAATATTCTGCTCGTTGCGTACAATAAATACAGTTTTTTTATTTATTTATTTAGTGTGGAGAAATCCAGTGATTTTAGGAAATCTCAGTAGTTGTATCTTTTTTCACTCTTAATTTTCATTAAAGCATGAAGTTGTTTTCTGAAAACAGGATTATAGGGTTGTGTGTATGTTTATTATTAAAGTGACATAATTCAATATTTTTATAATATAAAAGTTTGTACATTATATAATTTTACACATTAAGTTCTTGTTAGGTTTGAATTTTTTTTAATAATAGGTATCTATAGTACGATATGAAAAAATGAACTTGGTGAAAGCAAAAATAAAAATGTCATAAGAAAAGATAACCCAATCTTTATAAATAATTTAACCCAATGATTGATAAAATAATGAAGTTGAAGTATTAGTTAGTTAAATAGTGAAAAATCTTCATAAAACAAATAATTTACTTTATTAGAAAAATATACAATATTTACATAGAGAACAGTAGCAAAATACATATTCTACACGTCAGTCAGATAATGAAAATTTGTTATTAAAAATACTTTTAAAATGGATACATTACAATTAGATATTAAAAATAAAATATCATAAGAATATTAACATTGGTTATATTTACTAAACATATATAACATAAATTGCAAGCAACATGGTTATTTAAAATAATTTTTTTTCTAGTTTATTGTGTATTCTTAAATAGTAATAAAGATTAGATAAAATATATATATATTATACATTTTCTAAAGTCTTAATGTTAGATTTGGTTTTAGTAAGAGATATATTAGGAATGATCAAACCATTATTAGGTTCTTGAAAATTTTCCGAAACATTTGTATTAGTCGAATTACTCCCTATGCTGTTAGAATTAGAATTTTGCAATTTTGGTGTGGAAGTTCGGCCTTTTAAAAGAACAGCTTGCTCTGTACTTTTGCTAGCTTCTTTAATTGATATTGATGACACATCGCTAATATCTGGCAAACCATAATTATTATCAAATTGTTTTTTAACCGGTGATATTCTTTTGGCAGTATTTATCGGTGTTACATCTGAATTTGATGACGAGCTTAAAGCACTGGCCTCACGTGTTTTCTTTAATGTTGTTATCGCCCAACCTAGACCAAGTTTCTTAAGAGCTGTTTCCATTTCTTCCGGGGATGATGCATATTTTAATATAGTAGACGATGGTGTACTTGCTATTTGGGATATTCCGGATAATTCAGAAAAACTATTTGAACTGGTCGATGTGATTTTATCTTTGTTGTTTATGTAATGCTTGTTCGCTGGAGGATCAGTACCTACAGATTCTTCCATTTGCAAGGATTCTTGATTGGCCATATTATATTGTAATTTTTTGTTACTTGTTTCTTGAATAACATCTTTACCTCCTGTACTTTTAGACGTTTTTGGCGAATCAGAAAAGATTTCAACCTCTTTTATTTTCTGTGTACCGACCACTGAAGAGAATTTTTTAATCGAAGAATTACACTCTTTCTCTAAGCGTTGATTACGTAGATTAAGTAAATGAACATTTTCCCCTGGTTTCGCTATATCGGTACTTTTAATTACTTGTGTTTCAGCAACCCTTTTTGTCGATGATGGACTTCTAACGTTATTCTGACTTTTATTTATAGTATCCGGTGTATCAAATTCAATTATCGTCGATAACTCGTGACCTGATGATTCAATCTCAGCTCTGAAAATCAATTTCATTATAAACATATCAGAAATACATTTAAATTTAAAGTAAAAATTTTATTTTTAAAATTTATTTTATTAAATAAATAAAGGGTTGAACTTTACTTTACCGGACTCAAAATTTTGAACCCGTGTTTTTTGAATCTATAGTTTTTGATGCGGAGAATCAAAAAATGCAAGTCTTAACTTTAGGAATCCAATGGTTAAAAAGTTATAAGTGTGTAAAGTTTGACATTTCTAACGGATTTGCTACGTTACTGTGACGCCATATTGGCTTCTTGCCCAATGAACGGTGTCGCTAGCTGCAAGCAGCAGGTGCCGACCACTTTAGCGGGTTTATTTAAATCGTAAATTTGATACTGTCCGAGTTAATTAGGTTTATATTTATCTTAAAGAGAGAGGGTACAGCCCATGTATTTGCTTATTGCTTCTACTGTAACAATTTTATGAGTAATTTAAATACAGCTAGTGATGGAACCCATACCCAAAAAAATTTGGTGTCCCCTAAAGTGAAGTTTAACCTAAATATAAATCTAACTAACTCAGACAGTATCAAATTTACGGTTTGACTAAACCCACTAAAGTGGTCGGCACCCACATGCGTCTGCCCGCAGCTAGCAACACCGTTCATTGTACAAGAAGCCAATATGGCGTCACAGTAACGTAGCAAATGCACTAAAAGTGTCAAACTTTACATGTTCATAACTTTTTAACCATTGGATTCCTAAAGTTAAGACTTGCATTTTTGGATTCTACACATCAAAAACTATAGATTAAAAAAAAAGGTTCAAAATTTTGGGTCCGATAAAGTATAGTTTACCAAAATAAAGTAATAAAAATGTATAAAGTACAAATTCATTCATTAATTCTTTTTTTTTTACCTGTATGGACCACTAAATAAGCTGACTGGTGGTTTGCTTCTACCATTGGTATATGTAGTAGTATCTACTGCTTTCGTTACTTTTGGAATATCAGTTAGTATCGGAATAAAATCTTTGTTTTTTTTTTGCTGAAGAAAACAACGTTTATGTATAATTAAGTTAACAAACTGATATACAGGGTGTCCCGGAAGTCGCTTTACTCCCGGAATTGGGGGGTTGATGGTGTGATTCTGAACAACTTTTGCCTTTACCAAAATGTTGGTTGAAGTTTCGTTTTTGATTTATTAACGAAAAACACTGGCCAATCAGAGCGTGCGTTGAACCACGAGAGCGTTGGCTTTAAACCGCTCGTGGTCGTGAACAAAACCAACATTTTGGTGAAGAAAACAGTTGTTCAGAATCATCCCAGCAACCCATTTCCGGGAGTTAGGCGAGTTTCGGGACACCCTGTACATTTAAATTGCTGTTAATAAGTTGCATTACCTCTTTAGTTGAATATTGTGCTGTTACTCTATCATTACTTTTATTCATTGAAGCATTATCTTTTGAATCGGTAACATCCGTTGAAGTTTCGATGGAATGTTTTCTTGAGCTGCTAACTTCCTTCGTTACCATTACATTATTATTAAAACTTTTGCTTTGCTCCAAAATTTCTTTCGATAACTTCTCTATCATTTCTTCCTCGTTATGTTTTGAAACAAGTCGAAAACCTGATTTTACCGTCGACGTTCCAGGTTCGGCTTGTAATTGGAATCTGTCCAGTCGTATGTTTACTTTTTCATCGCGAATGATCTTTGGCTTAACCTTATCCTTTAATACGCCTTTCGATTCAACAGGATCGGTTACTTTCTTCGGCGTATTACTCTTTTCGACAATTACTATTTGTTTTTCTTTAGTTTGATTACCCTCATCTTTAACCGCTTTACTTTTAATAATCTTTTGGGATTCTATCAGTGTCTTTGCAAGCTGATTATGGACCGCTTCTATATTTTCTACAAGCTTTCGAACACTTTGCAGATCATTAGTCAGGAATTTTGGGGAAGGTAACTGCATCAAACTGGTATCATCCGCTGTGATTATAGAAAATTCCATACCTAGAAGGAAAATCGTGCAATTATAATATTTTATTCATGTATAATAATTCATAGATTATTTCGGCTGTAGTTCCATGTTTCACCACCAGTAGAACCAAAATTAGGAAATTTGTAAACGTTATATCTTGAAAACTAATTAAAATCGAGTGTATACATTAAAGCTTAATGAATTCGTCTTGAGAAGCACTATTACATGATCTGAAAAAATATATGGTTCCATTTAAAAAACAAAACTTGACCATCATATCATATTCACTTCAGCCAAAACATAGGCCCCCTTTTTCCATGCCATTTCCATATCAACAATTTTTTGTGTCATTAATAGTTACGGAATAACAGAATTATAACAGTTAAGCTGGGACACCCTGTATATTGTCCTATTTTGGGGTCGGTGAAACACAGAACTGTACTAGTGATGTGCAGCCCGACTAATGTATAGGGTTCCCGACTAGTCGGGTCGGTTCGGAAAACATCGGACGGGCTCGGGCGGGCGTCCGATACATTCGTGCAGTCGGGTAGCCCGACTTTTTCGGGTTCGGTCGGGTACAGTCGGGCTGATTCGGACGAGCTCCGGCGGGCCGCGGCCCGCGACCCAACTCTCATGTACTTCTTAATACTTGCAACAAGCATGTGCAAAGTCTGTTTTACGTGGAATTTTGGAATCAGATAATTTTTATTATGTGGAAAAATAATATTTGCAAGGAATTTTTTTGAATATGAACTTCATTCCATGTCACCTGTATGTTAATTTTGTACAAAATAAATGAGTTTTCCAATTCCGTTAACTCATTTATTTTGTATAAAATGAACATACAGGTGACATGGAATGAAGTACATATTCAAAGAAATTCGTTGCAAATATTATTTTTCCACATAATAAAAATTATCTTATTCCAAAATTGCATATAAAACAGATTTTGCACATGCTTATTGCAAGTATTAACAAGTACAATAAGTTGCATTGAACTTGTCGCAGTGAAGTTGGCCACGCATTCATTCACCGACACGGTGTGAATGCGTAGTGAATTTGTAGCCAACTTCACTGCGACAAGTTCAATGCAACTCAATGTACATGAGAGTTGGGTCGCGGGCCGCAGCCCGCCGGAGCTCGTCCGAATCAGCCCGACTGTACCCGACAGAACCCGAAAAAGTCGGGCTACCCGACTGCATGGATGTATCGGACGCCCGCCCGAGCCCACCCGATTTTTTCCGAGCCCGCCCGAGCCCGTAATATCGGGTTCTCGCACATCCCTAAACTATACCCATTATTTCAATTAAATTACCTTTCTGCTCGTTTCGAACTTTTTCAATTAAATTTGTCAATGAAATTATTCTCTCCGCGCAAGTAGTTTGAAGATCCTCGTATCTTTGCAATATTTGGGGACAATTCTTCAATGCATAGCTGCGAATTTCATCAAACTTAGCGTGCATCTGATTACAGTTTGGATTGTTACATAGACAAAATTCTAAAGAAACTGGAAATTTTGGTAATGCAGCAGGTTTCTGATTCGACGGTAGTTCGTCTGATAAATCTGTAGACGTTGAACAGCTATTTCTAACAGACGACAGTGAATTACTCTCGTTTGTCTGAAGACCTCTTGACTTTAACAATTTTGTAATCTTCTCAGGATGAGGTATGTTCGAAGGTAACCTCATGGTACGTGGCGAAGGAGTTTCCGGCGTTGATACTGGACTGATGTCTCCTTTCAAACGCTTCATGCTTTCGTTTACCGAAGAATCTAACAACTCCAGTATAGAGATGTTATTAGTTAAAGCTTCGAGTATATCTCTAGGTTTGATCGGCGGTGGGCTAGCAAAAGATGTTGACGTATCCGAAAAGTCCCTTATTTTAATTCTTGATCTAGACTGAATCCAGTGTGGTTTACTCGTCGATTGTTCTTGGATACTTGGCGAATATAATTGGGAACTTTGCGTGCTTACATCTACAGCTACTTCTGTAACTGGAGGCGGTTGCACTTTTATGTTAAGCCCATTTTCGTCAACGTACATCTTGATTCTATTGCTAGACTCATCTTCAGTATTTGCCTTTTTCGGATAACGTGATTTCGGACACTTCTTTAGAGAAGGTGAAGCTTTACTTATACGCGTTGAACTTGACTTTTGAAACGTTTTCGACGGAACTCGTTTGGACGTTTTCACACTGCGCTTCGTTTTTTTAGGAGTTGCTTTTGAACTTGGTTTATCAGCATCAATGACCGCGTTTGTAGTTACCGAACTTGAGGATTCGTTATCAGTTTCGTGGGTAATAACGGTAATTTTTGGTTCGAGCGGATAATGTTTAGTAACTGTTTCGGTGTCGGATTTAGCTTTATCTTTGTCTTCTTGAGTTAATTCTACCTGGGTCCCTTTATCTTCAACTATACTACGTTTATCTCCTGTGGTAGTTTGTACAGCAATTTCTGCTGTCTTTATAGGAGAATCACTCTTACCTTTTTTGTCATTCTTATCCTGAGGTACATTTATTACTCTGATCTCCGGTGATGAAGGTTTTGGAACGTTTGCGTTTTCTTGAGATTCAGTTTGAACCGACTTTTCTTTTTCAAACAACGGTTTCATGGACGCGTTAAAAATATCATTCGGTAAGTCTACCCCAAATTCTTGTAATAATAATCGTTTCTGCCTTTCAACCTTCTTTAACATATCTAATATCTGTTCTTCGCGCGACTCTTCTTCTTCTTCGCATTTCTTTCGAGAAATTTTCTTAGCATCCGCACGTTTACTGCAGCACGGCTCTTCCCAGGTGCCATGTACATCAACGTTTCCATTACTTACTCTTGGGGGAAGAGTGATTTGCCTTTCCATCGGCTGCGAAACACACTGCTCCAAACATTCTTCGCTTAACAAGCTTCTTACCGCGTGATTTAGTTTCTTTTTATGCTGGTCTCTTAGTATCCTTCTGTGCTCTTGCGTGTGGGTACTTTTCTAGTAAAAGAGCAATGGAATGAATTAGGAATCTGAATGTTGGAAATTATTTAAATAAATTAAATAAATTAAATTGTTAGTGACTTAGGTGAACTATTCGTGCATCAATTATCTATTGCATGCACCCCACGTTTAAAAAAAAATTCACAATCACAAATTTTTAGGACCATCTGTATGGGGCTAGGAAAAATTATTTTATACTTTTTAGTTCATCTTAAAAAAATTTTTTTTATTTAAATAATTATTTTCTGCTTTTTAGTCTTGTGTGTGTGAAACTTTTCAATCGATTTTAAACATTTTGATGAGATTATTTTAAATTCATTTCCATTAAATAATAATAAGTAATACTTTGTATCAGAAATTTAAATTAAAAAAATTTTCATATACATAAATTTATATTTTTTATTCTTTTCAATTAAAGCCCACTAAAAACTAGTACAGCTGTCTCTGCATTTTCTAGAAATGCGTCGAATAATAAAACAAATGAATCGGGCGACGCCGATGTAGGCATTGTCGACCGAGCCGTTAGTTTAAAATCAATTGCAAAATTTATACCGAACAGACAGACAAGAAAGCGAGTTAATAAAAACGTGTTAAAATAGAAATATTAAATCAGAATATATACCGGATAACGTTCCACCTGGCTTGCTTTTAATTTACGTTCTTCACTTGCAAGTTGATTTAGATTCTGCATGAGCGTTTGATAATCTCGACGTACTTTCTCCCTTAACGCGGCATCCTCGCCACGCTTTTGTGCGTTATATTTACGACTTTCTAATAGATGAGTTTCAACAGTTTCCGCTTGTTCAATTGTTTGAGCTAAATCGATCGCACTCGGCTAAAAATATAAATATTCTTATATTATAATCCATATTATTATTACAGTGGTACCTCGGTACACGACCTAAATCCGTTCCTGATGTTTGGACTTATACCGAATAGGACGTATACCAAACCAACCTTTCCCATAAGAAGTAATGTAAAAATGATTAACCCGTTCTCATGTAAAAAAAACTCCTACTGATATTAATGGGGTTGTAAAATAATTTAAACACTGTTTATGTCATGAACAGCATTTAAACGATTTTCTAGAAGTTTATAAAAAATATTCGCTAGTTTATTTAACATAATTAATTTGTGAAATATAAATGTAACCTAATGATAGATTCTAAATTAAGAAACCAAATGGAATAAATTTTATTGCCCCCTGTTTTGCGGTTATAGTTTGTTATATGATATCCTTACTTGTATGATCAGTCAGTTAATAATACATCAACTCCGAATATAATTGATTATTAATTTAATTTTTCCTCCGAGATAATTATTTAAAAAATGATGCAAAATTCACACAAAAAATTTACGTCGTATACCGAGCAAAATTTGTCACGTCCAAACAGGACATATTCCAAAACAGACGTATACCGAAGTACCATTGTATTGTTGTTCTGGCTAGTTTTTATTAATAATTACAAACCTCACTCCATGTATGTATTTTTTCAACTACACCAACTGGTTTATCGTACGTATTACTTTGATGCTTACTGTGATCATATAATTGTACTTTAGCGGCCGCTGGGCATTTAATGTATTTCGATGTTCTCGTTTTAGTACTCTGTTCATTATTGTCAGAAAAATATGACGAATCATCGCTAAATGAACTAATGCTGTCGCTATTTGTTGAATTTGAAGTTGCTTGTGCATAGTCTTCGGGATTATACCTTTAAATATTCAATTTGTTAGAGATTGTTTTGTACTAAAATTAATATTACACTGCAGTGGCGGCTCGCGTATAGGCACCGTGGAACTGCAGCACCCCCTATTTCCACTTGATATTATCGATAACATTTAATATAATGAATCCTTTTTAATTTAATTCTTTCTTTATACTTGTACAATATATAATCATTAAGCTTAATGTCAGTAGCCATCCCCCAGTTTATAAAAAAGATACAAAAATTTTTGTATGGAACGCTTCAGTTCCAGCGGCGTAGCGTTTAACTGTGTGCGCATGCGCACATAGAAAGCTGCGCGGAACAAGCAGCACTGCCGCTTCTGCAGTACCGGTTTTTTAAAACAAAGGTTAGAAATTTTCTGGAGCTGCACCCCCACTAATTTTAGCTACGAGCCGTCACTGTTACACTGTATACCTTGTTGTTTTATTCTTTTTCGTCGAAGCATTTAAAACTTCTTCTCCGGAATGTCTGTTGTTTTCTAATTGAGTTATGCACACAGTTTGTTCTACAGATGGTGTTGCATCCAAACTAGTTTTAGACCGTTGTTCTACGACTGAATCATTTTTTGTTTTAGATTTCAACAGCGACGAATGAGTCCTTAAATCGCTTCCGACAACCTATAACAAGTATTTAAAAAATATATGAAGTTGAAATGATAAATCTATTGCTGCATTCGATTATAAATATTATACTTTTATGTAAGATTTTGTTATTTTTCCAGGTGATTTTTTAGAAATAAATTTCTTCACTTTTTTCTTAGCAGGTTTATGTTGTTTACTTTCTTCCTCCTGCGCATCATCACGTACTGTATCCTTTTCAGATATCGTTTTTTGAGGAAGTTTCGCTATCATTGTAGATCTAAGATTTTCCACTTCTCTTACTTGACGTAGACGTTCTTCATGTTGTTGTTGTTGAACAGATTCCTTTTACACAGATTTTACTTAATCTTTTATAAATTAAATTCTAATATAACACATTAATATTTATAGCTGCCTTTTATAACATAATATAATGCATCACAATTGGAAATCTTACTTGCTGTATATTTTTCATTTGTTTAATTGCTTCCTTTCCTCTTTTTAACGCTGCTAATTTATTTTGTCTATCTTTTTCCTTCATAATTGCATTATAATCAGGTTCTAAAGTTGCAGATATATGCGCTTGACCAATATCTGCCATGTCCTCTTGATACTTTTGTTGCACTTCCATGATCTTTTCGTTATGTATTTGCCTCAAATTTAATTTATCGTTAGTTTCAAGTTTCTTAAGTTCCTCCTTAGCTATGTTTTTAGCACGTTCCAAAAGCCTATCTGATATTTCTTTGGACTGCTGCCGTACCTATGAAAATTTCATGAGTAATAATTATAAATTATACTTTTAAACTATATATCCTTAAGTGTATTTCTTCCTTAATTATTCCTTAATTTTCAAATGATTTACGGTTACACGTACCTGTTCCAAGCGTAACCTTCGACGACGGTCACGTTCATTTTTCTTAATTTGATCCAAATCAGATAATACCATTCTTCCTCGGCGTATATTTAAATGATTTCCATTGACGGTAACATTAATGGACATATTTTATTTAAACAAGATTACATATATCTCATTCAAATAAATATAGGACCTTTAAGGCGATGCAAGCGTCGAGGCCGAACTCCGAATTCCGCGTCGGTAAAACAGTCCGCGTTTAATCGAAAATTAGGCCGATCGGAAATTGATTTAAGCGCCACCTCAGTTATTGCATCCAACTAAGTGACATACGGCATCTCATATACATCCAATATATTCCTAGGCTAAGGTAGAATATCTATATCGTAATGTAAGATGGCTAGATTTTGAGTATCGTTTACATCCTATTTTGTACATTTTAGCGTATTAGTGAACAAATGTTGTGTAAACCCGCTGCTCAACAATCCCGGTGGTGTTTCATGAAACTCGATAGAAAATGCATAAACTCGTTATGTCTTTATCCGTCATTAATAGAAACTGATCGCATACATTTGATCAAGGGTTTCAGTGCTTTTTTTCAAACTATTCTCGACAGAGGAAGAGCAACATTTTAATTATATTTCAGTACGTATATTTATTTTTTAATGATACCAGTTTGTTAATTAAAATTTACTGTAGAATTTCACTCGTTTCATTCATCGTTTCATGTACTTTATTTTAACATTAAGAGATTCTTATTATTTCATTTACAGATATAATGGTTGAAAGTACTGACATTTGTGTCCTACAATGGGCTGGTCATGCAAGATACATTACAGAAAAATTTAGTGAATTGTTAGCACGCCAAGCACTTGTTGATGTTACCCTCATCTGTGAAGAACAAAAACTCTGCGTTCACAAACTGGTTTTAGCATCGAATAGTACATACTTTGAGGTATGTTTAACAAACATATTTATACAATTATAAGGGAGAAACATTTTTGCTTTTTATTATTATGTATATGAATACATTATAAGTCGTATTATTCACGTTAACTTTAAATTATACATTTTGAAATTAATGAATAAGGAAAAGTTGAGTGCAATGTTTTAAAAATATTTTATAGTATCAAAATGCATAAGAAAAATAAGCTTGTACTTTAGAGCATAAGTTATGTAATAATAGTATAAATGTTATTTTCTTGACATATTACAAAACCATATCAATTTTTTATTGTAGTTATAAATATATATTTTATAATTTCTTATTTTTTTAAATTTAATACATTATAGAAATAGCTTAATATTATTAAAAAATCTGTCTTATGTAATCACAAAAAAAACAATATCTAATTACAAAGTCAATGTATATTGAATGAATTATACATAAAAGATGATTAAATAAATTTTATTCAAAGCATATTTAACAATAGGATATAAATTTATCTTTTGTGCTTTGTAAATTTGATCATCCTAAAATCATTTATTTGTATTAAACTTTTATCATTTGCAAAATAATTGTGTTTGATATTTATATACGATCTTACCATCAAAGTTATTTTAAGCTATACATTAAACATCTTACTTTATAAAATGAAAAGGTCAATGTGAAAACTAATATCAATCTATAAGTTTTTAGTGAACAAATACAATAGTGAAAATAATTTTTATAAGTGTTTTTTAACATACAATTTTCATGTATAACAATGAATTATGATTGAATATAAATTACTTGAAACTTTGAATCTATTTTGTCTTTTTTATTAGTTTGTATATACACGTAAATGTATAATAAAAATATATGAAATATTTATAAGGGAACAATTTTACAGGGATTATGTAAAATTCATATAAAGTAAAGAAAGCCTTATATATTGGAATTTCCTTATTTATTTACAAGCATTTGAAGAAACCATGTTTGATGGACATACTTTTTACAACTTGTGAAGAACACCTATTCATTGTAAAGGTATTGAAGAAATGATTTGTATGAACTCAAAATAATGAAATAAATTACGCACACTAGTGTAAATATTTTTCTTAGTAGTGTATCTGATATTTTTATTTTTGTTTAATATACATATATCAAAAACATGTGCATGTATAAATTTCTACCTGTACCGCATAATTTCTTACTCATTTTCTCCACAAATATTTAACACTATTAAAAGTGTTCTTTGCATATAGCATCAAACTCTGTAAAACTATAAATGTATCAGAAACGTAAAAAGTAATTGAAAATATAAATAGTAAATCATTCATCACTTTAACATGTTGCCTGCCATGTCATCCATATATGAATGACAGATGAATTTTAATAGAAATTATATATATTATCAGAAAGTATTTTACTTACCCAATTGGTACAATAAAAGTAACAAAATATTGTAAAAATAACAGATGAGACTTTTTAAAAATAAAAAATACTACCTAATGAAACTTCCAGTAGTTTCAGTGTGGCAGTCAATGTGTTAAGTTTAATATTTAAGTAGAGCGAGGCTTTATTTGCTAATCCATTTTGTTTATTTTACTTTCTGATGCGACAGGAGATTCTGCAGCAAGATTTGGGTCAGGAACCAATTATATTTTTAAAAGACCTAAACTTTGAGATTTTGAAGGCCATGGTCGAATTTATGTATTGTGGAGAAACTACTGTTCCTTATCGATTGCTGTCATCTTTATTAACTGCCACAAAGACTTTTAAGGTGGGTACATAATAATTGAAGTAATATTATTAAAAGTACAAAACATATTATTACGTTTTAATCCTCTGCCTTATGATTTTCTTAACAATTACTTTTATAAGAATAATTTGCACATGATAGTAGTTGATTTAGCGAATTAGAATTAGAATTAAACTTATAACTCAACTATACTACAAATACATATATATTATAGAATTCAGCTTTGTCACATTTGAACTGAGTTGCGTCACGAGTGTGACTCTTTATTATAAAGCAAAGGGTTAAATAAAATAGTAAGAATTAGCCTGATGATATTTATGTTAGCATTTAATATGTTCACGATAAAAACTATATTTATTAATTTAAAAAGTAAAAATAATCTTTTGTTAATGTTGTTGCATGTTATTTCATGATATTATAATATTAGTAAACAATTTTCTTTTGTATGCATAGGTTAAAGAATTAACGAATGTGGTCAATGCCATGATGACTTCCCATGTAGAAAATTTTGAAGCTAATATACATACGGATAAGAAAGTTATCGAATCAAAGATTATAAGAAATAAATATAACGGTTCAGATTACGTACACGTAAAGTGCAATGAACTTGAGAAAGATAAGTGCTTTTTAGTTTGTAACGAGAGCAATAGTGATGTGAATCTAAGTGAAAATTCACCTTTGGAGAATAATGCGGTCACTGATCCTCCTGAAGAGGAGTTAGAGCATATGTTGTATGAAGAATCGCAAGATTTTGAAACTAATGCGGATCAAAGTAATAAATTATTTTCAATGACAGGTTCTAAACTAGAGGAGAATAAAAATTCAACTTTATTTGTAAATTGTAAAAGCAAAGAAGTATCGAATGGGTACTCCGATGATAGAATGATAAATAGTAATACATTATGTACAAATGATGCATTAAAACCTATATTATATGAACAATGCTGTGATCTTTCAGATATTGATGACTGCGAAGAAAATTCTATGTCACTATCACAATCTTGCCTGCAACAAATTGAAAAAGACTTTGCACAATATAAGTTCGAAGCCACCGATGTTCCTAGTAAAATAGGAAAATGTGTTAAAGTTTACACTCATAAAAGACGTAAATCTATAGACGAAATAAAAACTAAATTTACAGATGTAAATAACATAATTCGAAGTCCATCATCCACTGATTGTATAGACTTATTAGACGAACCGTCCACTAATGATATACCAGTTACACTTTTAACCTCGTTAGATATGGAAAGTGCTGAGTATATTATAAGCTTAAATACTGAAAATATTCAGTCCATAGTTGGAGCTACCCTAACCGAACAACATACACTAAACACAGGTAAGAAAATCGGGCAAATTATTGAATACAATTCACAGAAAGATAGTACTAATAAAAAAGATGTAAATCTTGAAAATACTGAAAATTCTATTTCCACCAAACCAATATTACGAAGAAGTTTGCGATTAAATCAACAGGAAACAGAAGAGACTACGAGCAATAATGAAACTGTTAAAGACTCGAATGGAAGAGAGAAACAAGTTAAAAAAACCAGTACCTCGAACGGTACAGAATTGTGTATGAAAAAAAAGCGTAAAGTGAAAGAGACAGACCGTAAAGTTCCAGAGCAAACTGGTAATAATTTAATACAGTCCGCTAAAAAGCCTTTTAATTCTCGCAAAAATACTACAAAATTAATTGTAAAGAAGAGCAATAAATCTGCGTGTACGATATCTAACAAGGAAAAGGATCAACAAACGGTTAAAATACCAAATAGATTGAAATGTGACATATCAGAAGCAAATGAAGTGAATTCTATTTTTACGTTGCCCAAATTAAATACAATAGAACATATAAACAGAGCTCTCTGGGGCGATATGTCGGATGTTTCAGACGATTGTGAGAATCGGATGAATTCATTGGAGTTTACACCGAACACGGAAATTCCGTTCGCTGTTGGATTACTTCCTTTACGTACTGCTTTGGAAAAAATGCAAGCAACGCCGGATTATCAGCCTCGTAAAACCCGTTCGTCGGTGGCTCCGTTAAGGCAAGATAGTTTTCTTAAAAGAAAAAATTTTACACATTTCGGTAAACCTACTGATTCTAAAAAGCAAAACGTTTGTATTAATGAGCCGAAGGAAAATGCGAAAACAGTTTATCATATTCAAATAAGAACAGCTCCATCGCAATATATAAGAAATCGTAAGAAATATATTGCAGCGTGTGTTGAAACAATACAACCATCGGCTATTATGAATAAATAATAAAAGGTATTACAGAGAAATAGGTAGCTATAAACAGTGATCCTAAAAGGGTCAGGTATCTAATAAATTATAAGAAATGCGTATGCAATTTTATATTTTAAACAAATATGTATTTTTAATATAAAACTACTTGTATGTAAAGTATAGGTACGAGAAAAGGATCTACCGTAAATCACATTAATATAGTTCCTTAACTTTTGTAAGAATTTAAGATATATTTTTTTATTCTTTTGAATACTCTGATAGAAGAGTAAATAAAAATCTGTTTCTTTAAAAAGAGAATGATTAATGTAACATAGTTATAATATTTTTGTTTAATACAGTTTTATATTCAAAATAATGCATGCATCATGTAATACTGCATTATTTTATAAGTTCATTAACTTGTGATCAAGTAAAATGAATTTTTCTAATGTACACGCATACACACATATATACATATATGTACAATATCACTTATAGTGTCCGTTCGTCTAGTGAAAAAGCATTAATTTTGGAGTCCAAGTTTAATTGCAGTAAATATCATAAATCTAATTATTTAATAAAAGCGTTGAAATAATTAACATAATCATCTGATTAAAGCTTTAGAATATTCAATAATTTATTTGAAATTACAAAATACACTAGACGAACGGACACTATGATTGATGTTGTATATTTTATATATGTGATGATTTGTTTTTAATATCATGTCTCTCGGTTAAGAATATTGTAAATATTTACAAATTTTAATTTGTTACATTTGATTAAAAATGTAAAGAAATTCTCTTTAATGTGTGAAAAATTACATCACTATGATTTATATTATTGTAAATACTTAGATACTATAAATTCTTATATGTTTTATATGGTTTATTTATAATTTGAATAATCATGATATCCTCTAATACCTTTCTTTTACAAAATATTTTAGTATAGTAAGTGAATGGAAATTGTAATAACCCAGTGTAATAATTTATATTATAAAAGCAGTAACTGTGAAATTACAATACAAATTTGTATAATAGTATATATGTATGTAACAGTTGTATTCCTTTACATTTCGTATACTTTAAGTGATCATTCAATCTAAATAAATGGAATTTATTTTATATATTCGTTTACAGTATTCTGAGGTGTAAGCAGTTGCTGCTCAACATAATATAAATGGATTGTTTATTGCAATACTATACGAATATTTTTTACATGAATTTATGTATGCTACATATACAATGATAAATATATACATATATTTTTTCCATAATAAATGTTTTCAGTGTAAAATTTTTGTAGTTTTGAAATCTATTGTTACAATTTTCTAACGTATGACGTCACTACGAAATTACAAATTATATGTTATCCGAAATTATGCAACGACATTTTTTTCTATTGCATCAGTACGATCAAATGCTTTCATATTTTTTAAACGACATTTAACGTTATACTACTCGATTAAACATAAGGAATTGTAATTTATACGTGAGCATATGGTGTATTCAATATGCTCTTGACACTGCGCAGAGGACGAAAACGGACTAAAGAAAGACAGCCATGTTTATTTATAACTGGTAATTTGATTGGTCGTGTAATGTACACTTACAATACATATACAATCGATACGCGTAAATTGTGATTCTAGTTATCTTACTTCCCTAATTTCTTATATTGTGAAAGAAGTTGTTCAATCACTAAGAAATAAACTCAACAGTTAAGGAACACAACGGAGTAGGCAATAGAAAATTCAAATATTTAATATAGATCGAACCATTTTACAGATAAAAATATTTTCCTATTTTCAATATGTATATGTATGGTGAAAGCAATAATATGTGCAATTACAACGTGAATGTATACAATCGAGGTGTAATCTATGTACAAAATCTAATTCCTTCCTACGTCACTGTACAAGTTAATAAAATATATCTAATCATGCGTATGCGAGTTGTAAAACGTCTACAAATATAGTATGAAATATAGAATCCATATGATATTCGAGTGACATTATATTTTTGATATAATTCTATCATTTATAATTAGCAAAGTAAAAATAAAAATTATATGTACTTGAATTATGAAAAGAAAAGAAATTTGTGATATTCAATAAATGTTAGCATCGTAAGTTGTAGATGCGTGAAACTTACACGAATTCTTTGTATATAACGTAGAAAAATCGATGAAACAGGTAGTTTCAAGATTATCGAGTCTCGCCTGTTTATCACAAACTTTACAACGGGAGGCTGAATTCGACAAGGAGGACATTACGTGGCATCGTATAACGCCTATATCCTAGTCTCGTAACTCAGTTGTTTAGAAGTTAGTGAAAGGTTCATATTGAACCGAATGAAGCAGGGAACCAGGCAAATAGATACATGTTCAGTGTTTAGCGTTACGAGGAAGACAAACTCGACGAGGTCGACGCAGCGCAGCTACAGTACAATCGATGAGCGCATATTGATCTCAACCCTTCACGGATTCTACACCTGCAGGGGCGGGTCACTTGAGTATCGAGCTCAGATATCATGATTTCACGGAGAATAATTATTTTTGAACGCATCTGTTACACATTTCTATTTAACCTTGAAACTGTATACTTATTTTTATATAAGAGATTTTATCGAACTGATTTGAGTTTTCTATTATCTTTGATGAAACACTTGTAAAATAAACTTATTGTAAAAATTATACTGATATTCCTCGATCAAAATATTCACGAAAAACTAATAAAACAATAATTCATTTATATACATATACAAAGCATTTGAGGAATTTATATAATTAAAAAAAGTGAGAGCTTATATTTTGTTAATAATATAAAATTATTTACGTTTTTTAATTATTTAACTTTGTAAAGTATTTATTCATTAAGTAAACATTGAAAAGGTTATGAATGAATAATCAAGTCATACGTGTAAAATATATAAAAAATTCGTTAATTTATCGTCACTTTTCAAATCGTTTCGTATCATCGATAGTTGGTTTTCGATAGTAGTTTCGATATCTCGCAAATGCAGTTGTTTAATATTAATATCAAGGAAAAAGCACATTGTCCCATTTTTAAGTGAAATTGTCAATCGTTCATAGAATTACGCTGGATTTTCTAAAGTGATGTTACGTAAAATAAAGTAGACGTAAGAAGTGTCACAGTCTAACACGAGCGCCGGAAGCTTTAAAATGATTGCGGTAACGGGTGTAAACTATCAAATCCTTCCATCATTAAAAAAGATCCGAACAATTTCCGGAATACCGTTTGGTAGAAATAACAACGAGGAACAATTAATGAAATCTTTCTTATTTAAGCAAGCGAATATTTTTTTATTCTATGAACAAAAAATATATTGCTTCGATCGAATGGCTGAAGGAAATGAATTTAGGCGCGCTAAAGAGAGGTTTCGAAAACTGGCGCAAGATGGCGATCGTGTTGATGCCGCGAGCGAACAAAAGAACGGGATTGGTCGCTTCGAAAGTAGTGCCAGACATGTGTTTCGTTTCCCGCCTCGTGGGTTGTTATTGTGTGGGGGCCCCGCCAGTCCGGTGAGTCGAGTGTAGAGAGCATAGGGCCTAGGCCAGAATCGAACCACCGTTGGGTTGGCTCTTCGGTACGGTGGTGGCTCTGTCCGACTGGTGACCGACCGTGGTCCGTCCGTCATATTCCCGGTTTGAAAGCAAGGTTGCGACTAGTTGTTGCGACGCAGGAAGGTGTAGTGATTTGTGTGCGGAGTTGAAAACGGGTCTGCCGGCCATGGAGAAGCGGATCTTACTCGAAAAACGGGGAAGAAACCCCGGCGAAGTAAGCCGAACCCCACTTATTATATTGCACTGCTTTGCTCGACACGAGACGATACTACCGCGGGTTGTTGCGTGCTTGCTGTTCTATCGTGTGCAGGTCTGAGAGCGGGTACAAGAGAATCGTGTTCCCTCGCGCGACACCGACACCACGCACTCGCTCTGCGGCACGCCACTGGCTCCTCGAAGACGCACGAGAACTCGGATTTCTTGACGGCGACCGCGTGGCTCCGACGATTTATCGGACAAGAAGACGTGTTCTCGATGCCGACACGAGATGCTACGACTGCCACGAGAGTAACAGGCATGGCGTGGTTCGCTTGAACGGCTTGTCTCCTTGATTTTTCATTACCTCTTACCGACACGACGTCTAATTTTTTTTCTTTCTCATTTACTTCGTAATTTCCAGCATTTTTGTACGAGGCTCTACGCTCCGTTACCGCGTGCGTCCTTTTACTAGATTGGTGGAAAATTCGAGGAAACCGATTCGGTTAGGGAAGACTCCCAGGTCAGTTGTATCGTATCGTGTTAACTGGAAAACTGAGAAACTCGCTAGCCGATTGGTTGACCGAATTCAATGAACAGTTGATCAACCAATCGTTTAACAAGTTTTTCCGTTTTTCCAGCATACGAAGCTTTCTACTGAATTGCGAAGTCTCCCTTATCGTATCCCTGATATGTTATATTACGTTCATAGAGAAAGCACAATACAACCCGCAGTTAAATACGTTTGAACTTGAATTATTTTATTAACCACAAAACGTATATATATATACACTACGTCTTGCTGATTTGTGATGTAATACATCGCAGAATCAACGTCGTTGGCATAGAAAGTAAAACGTGTTTAATCAATGGAGACATTGCTCTCTTACAATGGCTGATTTTTTTTTTGTGTATATATTTACCTGGTCATTTTGAAAAATTGCAGAAATATTCTTATTAATGCTTGAACGAATTAGTTCTGAAGCTGTTTACATACAATATGATTTATATCAGTTCCGTTTTCCTTAATTGATATTTAAAAATACATTAAATAGAATAATTTCATAACGAATTATTTTTTAAAAGGTTTACAAATTATATTTTTCTAATTTTATTTCTGAAGAAAAATGCTCAAATTCAAATATTTTCAGTTAATGTTTCTTTTATCATCAATTTTTCATACATCATAAACAATATTTTAATTTGTTTAGAATTAAAATAATAATCCTATTTTAGATTATAAAAATACTAAATATGTTATTAAAAATATCTGTTTACAAATTACATTTTCTAGAATATTTTGTTTAACAATATAAGATTGGATTTTTCAAATATTTAAGTGATCGATAAATTTTTGGTGAGATAAATCATTTCAAACATGATTGTTTCTTATTTAAACTGCTGTGTTTTATACGCAAGTCGTGTGATTAAATTATAGCGTGGCGTGGCTGTCTCTAGGAGCCCCTCTTTTTAAACTACCGTGCATCGTACGTGTGTTCCTATTAACAAGAGTAACCATATCTTCACAGGTCGCTCACGAGCCATTTTAGAAAATTATTTATTCATAATACGCTGAAATATTATCCTTAATAATTATTATTATACCGCGGTATTTCTATGCAACGCAATAGTGAAGTACATACAAAAAGGCTTTGACAAGATGGTGCCCCTTTCGAACGAGTTTCGAAACATATGCAACCTCTCATAAGTCACGGTTACTTACACATAAAGTATTATGTCAGAACTTAATAGTCCTTTGACCGCGATTTTCGGTATTCTAAGAACATTAAATTCATCAAGGTCAAACGGACGGTTGAACTTGAAAACATTGATAAAACAATAAACTCTAAATATTATATTTTACTTCGTGTTCTGTTCTATTATAACGCGTATTTATCAAACGGTTCATGCTCATTTTTATATGAAGAAATTTTAATTATTATTATTAAAATTGGGAACAACATGAAAATGTAATTTTTTTTTTACAAAATATCATTTTTCTTACAAATTCAATGTAAAATATGTCCAATCGGAGTCATAAGATGCACCAAATCGTTACCGTGTTTGTGCTCCAAATCACTTGACGATAAACATACTTTTACGTTTTCTTAATGTACGCATTAAAAATACAGTTCTGTTCGTGAGATTAACATAATGATAAATTTATTTTTAGAAAATTTCGCCATATTTCGTGTATTTCGAGTATATTCTTCACCAGTTGTAAAAATGTATTATGTAAATCAATTATCAGCGAGAAGAGTTGTGCGTGCCATGAGGTGCTGCCATGAGATGCGCGTGCGAGTGGACATCGCCATTGTTTTCTGGTGCGCGCGAGTGTTTTCATCGATATTTAGACTTTCACGTATCTCGAACAACGACATACATTTCAATATGATTTCGATTATTTCAGTGCGTAAAGAAAATGCTACATTGACTACTCGATTTCTCGTGTATTTAATCTACAGTCGTGTTATATGGCATGTTACTGATCTCTCTGCGGCCATCTTGGACGAGTCCACTCTGTCACCAACTGACACGCGTACGTTTCGAAACAATAACAAAATTAAAATAAGCACGTTTCGTGTCTTTACTTCACATAACAAATTTTACTGCATTAATTAAGCAACACTTGACACTATTGTGTGATTTTCAATTCGATACATTAATGTAGAATATGTATGCGTGGGCGTTTGCATCGCGTTAACCACCGGCATTGCGATGCAACTCGTTTAACAGTGCTGTAGCTACTTCTTCAGGAACCATTGTACGAAAAAAGAGCATACTTTTTTATTTTCTAAAATTTTTTATCAACGTGAAGTATAATTTTGTTTTACGTAATATCATTTATAAAAATCTCAGAATTAAAAATATTTTACATCTTTTATTGATATGTATCAAGTATATACTAAAAGTAATTTTTAAATCATTTATTAATAATTTAAAAGCAGAAATTTTATTTAAATCATTTAAATATTGAAGTATTCCTCTTTTTTTTATTTTTCTATACAAATTTTCAACTAAAAATATTATATATCTAGTTAACGTAAAAATAATTTTCTGTAGTAAAATAGTAAAATGTTTTCACGATTTCATTTAATCTGAAAGTTTCATCAAATATCCATTTCTTGTATCCATCTTTGAGTTAGCTGTCATTGATTCGCTCCTATAAGCCACGACGACTCGTAAACGCTTCCACTATGATCAGTGCAACGCACGACGCAACCAATCAGCCGGTCGGAATGTCGGGCAGTGAATCTAAGATAAGGACATGCGACGACTCCGAGGCTTCGCGTGAAAGCGGCCCGTCGTTACCAAAGTTTCCTATACAACAGCGTATTAGGCTTTATAATATACCTTCGTAAATTTCAGATTACGTAAGGTAGCAATTAACAAATGAATCTTTTAATTAAATGTGATCCATTTCAGATAATTAAATAAATGTATATGTTATAGCGTGATTAATCTACAAGATAAATTATTCAACCTTGGACGAACGATTTGTATAGAAAGTACAAGTTGAACTTGAATCGAAATAAATTCGGATAACATGAAAACTTAAAACTACTCCGATTCTCTTGCGTCGCGTGCCGCAGTCAGTACTTATTGCTTGCCGGCTTTTCTGATGCCGCTAAACAAGACGCGTCGTGCACTCTACTGCCATCCCCCCTGTATCCCAAGCATCCCCTCGCACTTCTCCGCCCGTTGGTTCTCCACTGTCTCCTTTCTATCTACTCTCTCACTCTTTACCTTTCTCTTTCTCCGATCAATAAAATAGCCCATCTCCCGCGAAAGCTTATCGTCTGTTTGAATTTCAACGACTATTATCCGATTTTTTTTTTTTTCGCATTGAACTTTCATATTTACATCTACAAAGTAACGTATGCTCACAGCAACAATTAAGAATACGACCAACATTAGTCGAGAAATTGTAATCGTTTCAAACGGATAAATAGAAAAAATGTACATATTGATTGTCATTAATTAGGAAATTGTTAGTTTGTTATTTAGCATACACATTTATGTTTATCACCAGCACCATTATACATATTTTATTTTCATTGTATAAAAATATTATGTTACTTGTATTTATTTAAAGTTATTTATAGTATATTTGTTGTATAATATTTCTTTTGTGTTTTTCCTATATTTAATTGATACATGATAAATTTAGAACGTGATTACATTAATCTGACGCAGTTACTTATCTCTGAACTATTTTTCTTTTTGCAGATCAAAGAACTTGTTCTTGACAATTGTCGGAGTACACATATTGTAGGTCTGACAGATGAATTTGTTGCGTTAGAATCACTAAGTCTTATCAATGTGGGTCTTACCAGTCTAAAAGGCTTCCCAAAATTATCAAATCTAAAAAAGGTAAAGGGATGTTTGAATATAGTTTGGAAGTCAATAAAAGATAAAATGAAATATAAATAAAGTAGCGTAGAAAGATAGTAGAAACTATTCAGATAATTTATGAGTATTCTTATTTCTCATAGTTGGAATTAAGTGACAACAGAATCTCTGGTGGTCTGAACTTCCTTCATTCGAGTCCTAAGTTAACTCATCTTAATCTTAGTGGAAACAAGATCAAAGATCTTGAGACACTTCAACCTCTAGTAAGTTTTGATATACTTCTGGAATATCTCTAGTAAGGTTTTATATGGATTATATGTATTAAAAATTGTGTTCTCATTTGTAGAAAGAATTTAAGAATTTAAAGAGCCTGGATCTCTTTAACAATGAAGTGACAAACGTGGATAATTATAGGGAGAAACTTTTTAGCCTTATTCCCAGTCTTCGATGTCTTGATGGGTATGCATTTTTTAGCATAATTTGAAGTAAATTTATTATTTATTTTATAAATTTTTCTAATCACTCACCAATACTTTCTGTGTTATAGATTTGATACAGATGACTGCGAAGTAGATGATAGCGAAGGAGAGGATGATGAAGTTAATGGAAATGAAGATGGGGATGGAGATGCTAACGAAGAAGACAGCGAGGAAGGTTGGTCAAATTTAAAAATGTTTTATACAATTAACAGTTATGATACAATTTTGTTATAATTCAAATTATCAGCATTAGAAACAATTTTAGTTTCAGACGAAGAGGATGATGAAGATTTTGATGATGGTGGTGTAGGTCTAGAAACGGTGTACAAGGATGGTCTTGAGGTAAATATCTTTCTATTATTATGTTGTGTAATATAAATATTTATTAAGCAATCATTTCTGTAAAAGAAAAATCTGCTTCTTATAATATTAAATTTGATTAATATGATGCAGGATGAAAGTGATGAAGATGACTTCCTTTGTGACGAAGATGAAGAAGATGATGATGATGACAATGAAGAGGATGAACAGGATGAAGAAGAAGGTAAATATTTTACATAATAATTTAATTTTTAATTTTTAGTTAAGATGTAGAGCAAAGAAAGACTACGTTCCTCTTATTACATTTGAAGTAAAGAAAGATCAAATTTAAACGAAACATTATGTGATTGATTGTATAACATATTATTATTAAATTACGTAGAATCCTCTCCTGCTCGAGGTAAAAAGAGAAAACATGAAGATGGAGGAGATTCAGGGAACTAGAACCATAAAGATCAGGTTTCTGATGCTGTTGAATGAGTGTAAAATTCGTATAAATAATAATATTTGAGACGCCGAGTGAACACCTGGGAATCAAACTAATTGACCGACCAATGACAGACTACAGTTAGTGGTGTGAATTTATCAGTAAACGATTGACTGACAAATTGTCTGTGGAACAACAAACGATTACCACTGCAAAGAAGCGGAATGTGAATGAATTAAAAGGATCATAATGGCATAAAATAAGACTGCATTCCAGCTGGACACAGCGCGTTTTAGTTGTACTAACGATATTTTATATAGAGTATATAGTTAGAGTATTAGTGGTGTTGCATAGTGGGTGTGAAAGATCAGATATTGAAGGGCTCGGAGAAGGCAACAATGGAGTTTTACATATGAAGGAGCATATTTGTCTGTTAGCTCCAGTCGGCCAAAGGCTTGTCACGCTGGAATGCAGTCATCGTTAATCAGTACTAAGGTTACATAAGTTACATTTTAAATACATTATTATTGTACCATGAATAAGTATAGAGTAAATGAGGAACAACTTTTGTACAGGTTTACACCATACATTGAGGTGCATTACGCCTCTGTGATTTTTGGGACAGAAAATAAAGAGATAAATATATGTTGCTCATACATTGAGCTTATATGTATGAAAGACGTATTAAGATAGGGATCTACATCATTAGAGTGAAGAAATGAATAAAAAATAATGTACATTTCGTTTAGAATTAATAGTGATTGAGAAATGTATAATTGATATCACTTAAAAAAAAAAAAAGATGAATCATTTTAGCACATAAAGATTATCCTAGTATTTTCAGTTAATTGTTTTGATACAAGTGACAAAATAGTACTGGTATTTCAAGAAATATTAATCTTGCAAGATACTGTGAAGCAACACAAAAAAACACAATTGATATTGTGCTAATATCCTGACTTGTAACTTCTTTTTAGTAAATTTAAAATTCCAAATGTTTATGTACAATGGCAATAAGCCACGCATATTTCATGGCTGTTAAGATTATTGTTATTTACTCTTGGGCATTCCATGGCTACGTGTTATGCTCTAACGTAACATAAAACTCATTTGATTAGTAACATTATTATATCATCTCTCCATTTCAAATTGCAGACGTTCAACTATATAACCGTTAAATGTTTTTTATATTACTAAGTCGTACAATTTTTTACAATAACAATAGAGATACTTGTTGAATAAACAAGTCTAAAAATTTGGAACATAGAGTATTAAAGAAGAAGAAAAAAAAAAACAAAATTGCTATAAATCCGTAATTACCTTTAATTTCTGTCTCTGAAGTTACCATAGCGCTGACACATCTCGTGATGATTAAAGTGCGAAATTAATGGGTAATGATCATTAATATTATTATTAATATTAAATTACAATTATGATTTTAAAAAAAGTAATAAATATTTATACTTGCGCTTTCGCACTTCTGAATTGTATTTAAAAAAAAAGAAAAAAAAATGGAAAAAAAGAAGAGGAAAACCCAGAAATGCAAAATTTAGAATAGAGCGAAAAGACAAAATCTGGAGAAATAGGCGCAAAAATAAGTAACAAAAAATGAAGATGGATCAGACGATGTAGTTAATGGTAAGACTGTGGTACGTGGATTACTGGACGGACTACCGATTAGCTACGTGATCGTGAGAATGGATGGGAGTGAAACAGCGAGTGAGAGTGCAAGAGAGAATCGGTTTTATAAGAAAAAAAAAAGAAAGAAAACAAGAAATTATGGTAGAGTCGAGGATCTGGCGCCTCCTTGTCGCCAGTTTGGTTATGGCCTTATCCAATTTTTCCAAGACTAAAGCAAATTTATATTAGGTACAATGAGTATATTACATGTACAGGTCCAAATCTGTAAATTTCCAATCTGCAATTTGTAATTGCGGCACGCGCGGATGTCTTATTAAAAGTTAAATTATAAATAATTAAGAAATTGAATTATAAATAATTAAAACATTCCGCGCGCCCCGCGACACATACACTTTTGTCAATTGCAATTTTGGATAGACCATTTACGTAAGAAAAAAAAAAAAATCTATCACCTATCAGATATATTACATCTCTGTATTGTCTGTCTGTTCCGTTGTTAAAGTGAATTTTTATCATAACGTTTGTTTATTTCGAGCAATCCTCATCACAAAATAAGAAAAAATAATTTATTAATAAAATCATTTACAAATCAACAATTATATACTCAATATCATTGATCCGTTTTTATTATTAAACACGATTTGTAGCATGAATTTTATTATTTAAAACAATATTTTTCATTGTTTCAATTTTGCAGTGACTTGTATTCTTTTCTTTTTGATTTAAAACAGTAAATGGGACGGAAGTTACGCACGTAGCGAGGTATTACGTTTTTAGTTCTTTGAGAGGGTAGAGTAGTCACGTGACTGGGCTGGTCGGTATTTACTGCACTGTTTTTGTTAGGCGAGATGGAGCCACTTGCATGGTCTATTATAAATGCGAAAGGAATTCTTACGATGTAATCAGGGTAACTTTGTAACATTCATGTTACTTAATATCAACACAATCTTATTAAACAATAACTATAATAGTCTATCGCTTTAATTATATTTTTTCAGTTTATTCATCATTTTGTTAAGCTGTCTTTAATACCTAAGTTATTGCTCGTACAATAATTCAATATATGTACTAATGAATTATGTAAAATATTGATTTTTGAATTTAAATCAAACATAGTTACACTGTATTGAGAATAAATCTTATTTATCAGATGTATATACAAATTAATTTAGTTCCTTTAAAATTAATATTTTCCCGCGTTTTCATGAATCTGGAATGAAGCCAGACTATCAACAATAACAATGAGTGTTTTAAATAATTGAAGTTATCATCACTTTTTATAAACAAATTTTCAATTAAAGAAAAAGTATCGAATTAATTTTGAATCTTGAATGCCATTTGTATACTGCTGTACCAACAGGTAAAACGTTCAATGGAGCGTGGATAGTGCTGCCAATACGCGAAGGCTCGTGAAAGCGTGCGGACCGTACCTCGGCGCGCAGTTTCGTGTCGACTCTTCAGTGTTTCTCCGCGCTTCCGTTCGTGCGTTTTGGTTGTAGTTCAGTGTGGAAGAAAGTAACGTCGGCTAGACTTCAAAATTGAATTTAGTGTTTTAGAGAGGATTGAAAGTCACCGCTTTTCGAATACCGTGAAAAAATGGCTGAAAGTAAGGGTGCGTTGATCGCGAAGACAGTGCAAAAACACGCAGGCAGAGCAAAGGAAAAGGTAAGTACCACGGAAAGACATATATTTGTATGTACGTACGTTCGTAACAGGTTTCCTCGTAGAACATGTCAGTCGGCCGAACAGTTTCAACAGAATTGCGCTCTTATAAATCGTTTCGACCTCGTGTTTTTCACTTATGTTTTCTACGCGTCGGTTGCTTTTAACAGTTAAATATTACATCCCCAACGTCATTACGCGTTTTGACTCATAACCTCTTCTTATAAGTTGCAGCTGTTAAAATTTGACACTTCGTGATTGACGGTTGTCCCTCGACGACCTTTTACACAATTTTTCAAACGAACCGGTAGCTCGTTAGATTTTTTCTCGCTCGAGCAAAGGTGACTTATGTAATCAATAAACACGTACCAGTTATATAGCATAGTTTCATTTAAAATGACAATTATGCAACTCTTGAGCCTGGTTTAGCGTAGTAATGTACATATGTATACTGCAGGTAGATCTTCGAAACCACTCGCACACGGTCTAGTGAAATAATCGTAAGTCCGGTAAATTGTCACGTGACATGAATATCCCCGTCTTTTATCGAATGCTGCTTGTGTTCTCAGACTTACAAATTTCTTAAAATAAACTCAACCGCGATTTTATCACACAAATATTTCACTTTATTTAAATCCTGTTGTTTTATTTTCAAATTTTGAATAATTTTACCAACCATACAAAGCGTTAAAAAAAATCAGTAGACAGAGTTGGTAAAATCAAAAGGGCGTAAATTAAAATATAAATAAAATGCGATTCGTAAATTAAATAACGTACATTTAATTTATGTTGGATTTCAAATGAATCTCCTGAACTGAATTTTAAACCAAAGTCTAAATTCCTGTAAGCGCAATACGCGTCCATTTAATGAAAAAAGAAGAAACGCCTTTTTCTTCATATATCACAAAACTATGCGTTGAAAGTTGAAAGCAAGTAGGTCATGTAAGTACCATTGATTTCTTCATGAGGATATTTTAGTTTTGGATTTTGATTTTCAACCGAGGAAAACGTGCCAGTGTCTCGTGTACCGTATGATCGTATAAATTCGTAGGTGTTTTAACTCGCTTTCGTAATGTTGGTTATACGGAAACTTATCTGGTAGAACCGGTCCATGCTATTGCCGTGCTAGAGTTACCACTCTCGTCCGTGCCAACAGGCAACCTTAACTCGGGAAAAAAGAAAGAAAATTGATGTTCCACTCAGGAAAGCTGTAGGTGAAAATCCGTGTCACTCTTTGATGAGATTTTACGCGTCAACTGTAATCAGCTTTTCTTTTGTTGTTCGCGTACTTTGTACGTTTTTCACACATCACTCATGATTGAATTGCACATACCAAAAAACAGGTAAACTTTCAGGGAGAAAGAGAATATTATACTGTTGCTATTCTTCATTGATGATCAATGGCACAATGAGGAGGGGCAGAAGGGTCAATTGGATTTCTCTATTAAGAAATTAATAACTTTTAGGTTTTGAATAAATAAGATGCGAATATTCTTTATTGACGACCAGTAGCGTAACGGGGGGGGGGGGGGGGGGGGGGGGGGCAGTGGATCCCCTATTAAGAAAATAATTTTTTTTTTTGGGTAATGAAGTTGGGAATATTCTTTATTATCGACCAGTGGCGTAACTAGAAGGGGGGTGGGTTCATTTGCCCTTCTCCTTCTTATTAATAAATTAACAACATTTTTTGTTTAGAATCAGATTAATTTAAAATTTGGGAATTTTATTTCAAATTAGTTGAAAAATTAGAGTTAATATTATGCTCGTAAAATATGAGAAAAAATTTACTTCACCCCCAAATTCAGTGAAACACAAATACAGATGAATCTTTAGATTATTAGATGGAAATAAAATGAGTATGTATACAATATATGCTAGCTGTGAGTGGTTGGTGTTGTTCTAGCTGAAGAGAGACTCTCGTTATATTGCCGCGGAAGGGGTGAAAAATTTGTCAAGCTTCCAAACTTTCTGTTGGAGGGGAAAAGGGAGATAAAATTGTATCATTGTATTATTTCTTAAGAGTAGCACTAGCATACTTGAAAATCTGTGTGAAAGTTAAATCGCCCACGCGGCAATATAACGAGAGTCCACTGTATCGTAAAAATAATACGAGCCGTTCACAGACCAAACCTCTACTTTTTGAATCTGCTTTATACCAATACTAATCTTGCTTTGTAATTTTCGATAGATCCATCATGGTTCTTTTTATTTTGAATACCCTGTTTGTTCGACAAGACTTTTTGGCCTCGGGACTAGTTTCCATGATTTATTCTGCATTAGCGTATCATATTCTACTTTCACAGCTTCTAGTCAGAATTGTTTGAAATATCTATTTTTAATTTCACTTGGCGTGGTTGGTTCTTCAAGCTCTTCCCAAAATTGTTTCCTTGGCCTTCCAGGTCTTCCTATTCTTATCACTTTAGGTCTGTGGACTTTCGTACCCAACGAGATTGAACAAAATTTTAGTGCCATAGATTTTTTATATTTTATTAAATTTTTTTTTTTTTTTTTTTTTTTTTGAGTTGATTTAGCAAATGAGCGGCTCGTATACATATAAGATTTGTCAAAGTAAAACTGTTATTCGAAATCTTCCGTACCTATAGCATGGTAGTTAAAGCGTTAAAATGATTTTATAAGTTGGTAAATATTTCTTTACGTATTCCAACAATTTCTGGTGGAGGAAGTCCTACCTATGTTTCTACCCACTACGCCAATGATGGCAACATGTGTGGATAAGGCACGACCTTACTGCACGACAAGTGTTGCATTCAAAGATCATGCTATGCATATGATGGGATAAGAAGGGGATCATCTGTTGAGAACTGCTTTCACCCAATCAAGCCATCGTGACAATTCTTTATGATATGAAAGGAATGGATTCAAAATGGAGCTTTTTTAAAATTATTTTTAATAGTAACTTCTAAGTTTGTTAGGATTCAGAATTAATTGAAATTTTAGTAATGCAATGAATAGGAGAGATGTAGGAGAGAATGACATTATTTTATCTATTTTCTTATAGCTACAATGTTTTACAATTTTATTAATCAATTTAACTATAAATTTACATTCCAAGTTAGTCACTTTCTATTCAATATGGTGAGACTAACAATGTGTTATGGTGGGGTTCAAGTGCACTGTTAATTGAGGTTACAGAGCCAATTTGGTAACATTTTCAAATGGAACTTAAATGGATATTATTTATTTTTAAATTTGAGAAATTTTTCAGTTTTGAACACTTGATGTGTTCTGGAATTCAGAACCATTTGAATCTTTCCAAAAAAGTATAGAATAGTTGGTAAAATGTTGAGAAAAGTCATGGAAAAAAATGAACAATCAGATCAGGCTTCCCTATGGAAAAGAATTTTCAAAATCTTAATTTTGATGATATAATATTAAGAGTGATTTAGAAACGAAATTAAGAAATAATTAATTAATAATTAATTAAGAAATATGAATGATAGAGAAAATATCAATTCAAATTCTCCCGCGTAAATGTTCAGACCCAAGTGGTGGGGGGACTTTAGGCCTATAATATAGAACCGCCTTCACTACATTGGCATTTTCTCCAGGACAGTTTCCAGAGAGAGGCGAAAGCCAGAGCAAGCGAAAAATTTAGGATTTTTCCAGGTTCATATGTATTTTAATATATTTTATTAACTGGTCGCATACATATTTCCTCCATACACAAGTAATTTATTATTTTCATACCAAATTAAATCAGTAGCCTTCCAGATGTGGTATGATGAACTAAATATGTACGTTGCAGTAGCGTAATGAAGGGGAGTCAGAAGGGTCAGCTGACTATTAGGAAATTGAAAAACCATTTGTTTTTAGTATTTTCGAAATTTTCAGAAAATATTGTTGCAAATAAACAAAAGTGAAGAAAATTATCACGATATTAATACTGTCAGATAGTATTTATTTTCAAATTAAAAACAGAAATATAAGTGATAAAAATATTCAGATAGTGCATAACTATTGATACAAATGAGAGAAACGTGATTATTCAATATTTTATATTGTAAAGTAACATTTTTGGAATATAATTTGAAATTAATGATAATTTGCAGTCTTTTAGACATAGACTCCAGAAGTTTATGAATTTTTGTATAAATCATTTTTTATATTTTTCTTTAAATAATTGTATTAATTATAAATTGTCTTCAAATTATGATATATTTACTTTATGATGATCATTTGATGACTCGTTATTTCATAATGAACTAGCTTAATTCTTAGCTGGCACATTGGGACATTTAAGACCCCAACCACTAAAATATTTCCTGCGAAGAAGCTATTCATTATTTTAACTTGAAAAAATTCCTAGATAATCTTTGAAAGTTGTTTTACCATATTTCATAGCTAATTTTAATAAAATTAAATATTCAATATGAAAAAAAAAATTGAAGAACGTAGAAAAATCGAAAAAATCAGTTTTCACAAAAAAATTCATAATTTTTTCAAATTTTCATATAAAGAGCTAAAATTTTAACTGGATACTCTTGAGATTGAACATTTTAAGGGAAAAAATATTACAAAAGTCGTGGTTTCAGAGAAGGGATTTATTTGGAGAGTTGAAGAGACAAAGTTTAGCCAAAAGTGGCTTTTTAAGCTGAATTAGCTGGGGTTGTCTCATACCCCACAATGCCAGCTAAGGGTTAAAGAAAACCAAGAAAGCAGGAAATAATTCCTTTATTAGAAACAATAAATTTTTATCCTTTATTTGTCTGATAATGTATAATGGTGAATGACTAAATTCATTAGAGATAACAAGAGGCACGTAGGAAATTAATTAATCTTTTGAACTGAAAAAAAAAAAAAATGAAGTGAAGGATTATTTATATTATCTCTTATCAAAGGAAATGAGTAATAATATTGAACGATATTAAGAAGTATCGAAAGATCAATGATTTTATAAAGTTATAAATGGAGGCTATTGTGTTTGCGTTCGAAGAATATGATTATCTTTCTCTTTTAGATAACGGGCTGTCAAATAATTCTAGATCGTTCCGAGTAGCTTTCCAGGGTATTCTGTGTGAAGCCCTTCCAAGATCTTTGATTTTCTTCGGTGAATGTCGTTAGAGACTTCTTTCTCTTCGTATCTACTTTTTTGTATAACTATAATGTTTTCTTAAAAATAAATGGCCACATTGTTTCATATAGATCAATGATTGTCAAATTTGTCATTTTGTACGACCAAATTCAAAATTCAGGAAATCTAAAAATTATATCTACATATAAGGGAATTATATCTGTGCATAGGAATTTAACTCCCTTTGAGAGCGGACCACGGAGAGAGTCCTGATTTTAACTTGATTTTGTATTTCATATTACTTTTATTTTCTAAATTTTACACTGTTTGAAAAATTATACAATTAACTTTAGGTTAATATCCTTGTATGGTTTATAAGTTTGGGTCTCCATTGACCCAGAATCCGTTGTTCAGGAAATGTTTGCACCTCATTGTTTTGGCACAATTTGAACTTGACCGTGGGAGTTTAATTAT